TATAAAATATCAAAATACAATACTAAGTATCTTGTACTGTATTTTGGTATTTTATATGATTGGAATAGTTATAAATGTTATTCTGTAACTGAATGATAATAAACAATAATAAGCTAAACTACTGGAATGGGGCAAAGATTCCACTAGAATGGGGCAAAGCCACACACAATGCAAAATAAAACACAATAGTTAGTACACATAGATCCCAAACACACTGCAGAAATATCCACTTTGAGACCGCTTTAAGTGCCCTGGCTCAATGGTAGGGAATTCTGGGAACTGTAGTTTTGTGAGACATTTAGCCTTCTCTGTTAGAGAGCTCTGGTGCCACAATAAACTACAAGAAGTTAAAGCCTTCTCAAACTGGATTATTTCTGCTGTGTGTTTGGGACCATAATCAAGTATACTAAAGATATAAAGCATTATATCTTTACCTCATGGGGTAAATATATCTCGTGAGGGAGTGGCAAGCAAGCAGCAGGAAGTCCTCCATATGTTGTTGGACTGCATGACCCATCATCCCTCACTATTGCCAACGTTGATTACACATGGAGAAGATTGAAGTCCAACAATATCTCCGGAGCCCCATAGTTTCCTTAACACTGCCATACTGGTCTGCTTAAAAGTAGGTCCTATGGGATTCTGTGAGGCTTACTCCACAGCCCCAAGGAAGTGTTTGGAAGAACTGCAGTCTGAAACCCACAATACTAAAAGTGCTTCCAGTCCAGAGAAGGCATGCATTGTGCAAGGACACTTGCTTGACCCAAATATTTTATGGAGGAGAGAGGCACTGTAATGTAGTGGGTTGAGTGTTGGACTAGGATTCTGGAGAACAGGGTTCAAATCCCTGCTTAGCCATGGAAATCTCTGGGTGACCTTGGGCAAGTCATACTCTTTCAACCTTAGAAGAAGGCAAAGACAAATCCCTTCTGAATAAATCTTGCCAAGAAAACCCTATAATAGCGTCAACTCAGGGTTGACAGTCAAACACAACTTGAAGGCACATAACAACAAAGCAGCCAAGAATGTCCTGTATATTCCATTTTTCACCCTCTCCCAGTTCTGCCTTTTTTCTTTCAACACACATTCCCAATCTGGGAAGGAAGAACTATTAGAACAAGGAATATAGTTTGTAATTGATTAATTATGTTAATCATACACTTAGATTTTGTGCAAATATACTGCTGTTGTTTTATATGTACATTTTTATAGAAATAAAGAATAAAATAAAAATGAATAATGTAATCGCAGAGTCCAATCCTGATTCTGGTCCTGTCCACTGCTTGTTTTGCTGTGATGATGTTGGTATGTACCCCCTCCCTCACCCCCTGGCAGTTTACCTTGCAGAAATGTGGTCTTGGTAAAGGGGAAAAGGTGATTTAAATTTCTCCTTGAGACTATGGGTGATTGGGATCATAGGGAACATTTGTCTCATACTGTGTCAGATCATTAGTCCATCTAGAGCAATACTGTCAACTCTGAATGGCAGTGATAGCTCTTCAGGGTTTCAGGCAGGTTTCTTTCCTGGCCCTGCTACCTGGAGATCCTTGGAAGTTTCTCATTCAAGTAATAGCCAAGCCTGACCTTGCTTAGATTCCAAAATTAGACAAGACTGGATGTGTTCAGGCCAAGATATGGTTTCCTGATTAGATAGCACTTAGTGCTGCCAGTTTTAAAAAGTGGATGGGACAGTATCCAGAAGAGAGAGACATCAAGCATTAATTTTTTTTAAAGCCAAGTAAAGCTGTGAGACAGTGGTTAAATGCCTGTACTGCAGCCACTCACTCATAGACCACAAGGTTACGAGTTCAATACCAGCCAGGGCTGAGGCTCGACTCAGGCCTGCATCCTTCCAAGGTCGCTAAAATGAGTACCCAGATTGTTGGGGGGCAATCAGCTCACAGTTGTAAATCGCTTAGACATCCCATAGTGTGATATGAAGCGGTATATAAATGAAGCTCCTTTGCTTTGCTTTTATAACTAGAGCAATCTGCAGTCTGTGGAAGAACTAGAAATCTATAGAAAATTGGCCCTGGCAAGGTCCTGCATATCATCCTAGGTGCACAGAGATCTATTCAGACTGATTCTCAGCTTGTGATGATGTGAATAACCTTTGCCATAGCCCTCAACACAGACTAAACAGTCCTGGTTCTGTATGGGAGCATGTTGAAAAATGTATCTGGATATCCTTGGATGAGATATTACTTCACACCCAATCAAAAACTTAAGAGATATTACTAGTTACACTGACAAAATACTAAACCATACATTATAGTACAAAATGCTATACTCCATTAGGAATTACCAGTAGACCCATTTTGGGTGGTATATAATTTGTAATTAAAAAAGTACCTGATTTTATGTTGCAGTATCAAGAGGCAGGATACACACTTTGAAGTAAGAATGAGGATTCTATAGTAACCAGGACCTGAAAAGATTTCTATGCAAGAAATAATGGTCTTTACAGGTGGACTGAATCAAGGAAGCCACCTCAATGAGTTTGCAAGACCTGAACAGAGCTATTAATAATGGTCTCTTGGAAGTTTCTCATTCACAGAATCACTATACGTTGAAGCTGGCTTGATCTGATGGCACCTCATAATAACAAAACAATGGCTTTGGGTGCAAAAACAACAAAAATGAAATGGTTCCTGTCTCCCTGGTATGTTTTCCTACTCAGTAATGTTTTGTTATTATATACAGTTGCTCCTCCCAATTCATGGGGGATCCATTCTGGACCTCCCTGCAAAAATGGTGGCTCGCTAATATTGGAGCCCCATTGAAACTAATGGCGGCACATGCACATGTCTTCATGTAGGCACAGATTTTTTTCTGTATAGAATGGCACCAAAAGATTAATACAGACCGAAAACATTATAGGAAACAGATTACTGCCAGGATACCCACTGTGCTTCTACTACATTCCCACTGTACAGCGTGTTTATATGTATTGTACTTTTGTTGTATATTAAACCATTTCAACTATTGTACTATTTGTTGTAGGCTGTGTATATGTGTAATGTCACATAGTCTATTACAATATCAAATATCAACTTATGCTAGAAGTCACAAAAAAGCATTTAGTAATCTGTTCTGTCACAGCCTTGAGCAAACTCTCCCTGCATTTGTAATATCTGCAAAGAGATCTTTTCCCCCCAGATTAACATGGCTGTGTCTTTGAATTCTACCAGCATGATTTCATCTGTGCAAACAGTTCTTGTACTGATATAGATTGCATATAATTCACAGCATCATTGGGTTCCTTGTTGCCACACTCAATTTGCAGCTTTGTGGCTATCCTTCTGGTGATGTGTTTCTCTGCTTTGCTAGGGTGGTCCTTGGATGTCAGGCCCACAGTCTGCCACTGTACTTGAAACTACCTAACCAATTTGGTAGAACCTGCCGGAGGTTGGGCTACACTACACCAAGAGCTCTGGGTCAGCTCTGTGGCACAATGAGACAATAGATGAGGAATTTGTGGAGCTCTGTTTGTAATAGGAGGGTACCCATGCTGTTCATGCATTAATTTTTAGGCTTACTGTATGGCGGAGTGGGTAACTCTGGAAAGGGGACCACATTATTCTCCAGGAGGTTGCACAGTACCTGCATCTGAAAAAAACAAAAAACAAACCAACAAACAAAAAAAACGAAACAAAAGCTCTCTAAGGGACAGGATGACATTTTATGTCTAGGAGTCGACTTTTTTTTAACAAAAGGAGGTGAGCAGAAGTCACTTCCAGTTCAGTTCCTGTTCTGAATAAGACCTCTCTTGAGCCTAAATTGTTCCAGGGTTGGCCATAAACATGATAGAAATGCTCTCTACAATCCAAAGCAGGCATTTTGAAGTAATTTGTTTTACCCCTGTGAGGTTCTGAGGACCAAAAAATGGTCCTGGGGTCATACTTTGCTCACCCTTGCTGTGAGGATTACTGAGATGAGATATGCACAGTGTTCCTGAGCACTGCGATAATCTGGTGTCTTCTTCTATACCCCTTCCTCCATTCCAGAGTGTTGAAAAAGTCAGGGCAGCTCTGATCCCTGCTGTGACACCTCCCCTAAATGCTCTTACCAACTTAAATGCGTGAATTGCAGAGGCCCAAGGATGTGACAGCAGCAGAGTATCTTCTGTGCCCAATTGTTCACCCAGACACTGCTGCTTGGTACTTCTGAACACCAGAAACAAAGCAGATGCTCTGGAGAAAGGCCTCTGTTCAGTTTTCCCTGATATCTTTTGGTACAAGAAAAGAGTTCCTTTGCTACCAGATGAGCAGTGAACAGACGGAAGCTGTGGGATGAAGGGAGCATCTTTCCTAGGCTGTTCTGAGCAGGGGCAAAGGCCAGATTTAAACAGAAGTGATTTCAAATATCAGAAATTTCTAGCTGGTATTCTGGCATTTCAGATTTATTCCTCAGTCTTGTCCTCAGACCTAAACAAAGGGGGGTTGAATCACTAAATAGAATGCCTTTGATTTATACACATCTACCGTTAGCCACAAACACTGTACCCGAAGCTATCAGCTTCGGCTAATACGCCAGCT